CACATCATTGTTATAAGCGATCAATATTTTTGGGTATGTAGTGAGATATATAGAGGCAAAAGTACAAATATAGGTGTAAATTAGCAAAAACAAATTTGATTATAGACTCGGTAAAAATGACGTGGACTCGAAATCGAATCTGAGTCCGAATCCGATTCCCGGCCCATCCCTAGTAACTTTGTATGATTTCACTATACTTTAATCAATAACCCCGCCTGATTCGCGTCAAACTTGGAATATATTACCGTAGAAGTGCCTAACTTCGGACAAAATCACCATATTTTCGTCAATAACTCGACCATTTATTGTCAAAAAGGCGCCAAAATGGCTCGGTAAAACATTCTGGGAGTAATTTACATTCCCCGCAAATTTCGGGTCAATCGGACTTTTTTACTATTGAAATAATCTATTTTTCTTGCCATCTGATCATTATCCTTCACTGCTTTACCTTCGAACAGTAATTTTTCTCACTGCGTAACCGCGACTTAGAGCTCCACCGATATATCTGCCAACCGATATTTCTGGCCGATATTGCGTGTTTGTGATATATCATATCGGCCGCAAACCGCCGATATATATCGGCCATACTCGGCAAGCGCCAGGCTGCGTGCTGCAACGGCTCTCGCCCCTGCGTAACTGGTTTCCCAATATTTCTCTCGCTCAAAATATGATTTATATCAATGCGGTATCGGTTATCGGCCACTAGCTGGCTGACATCGTTATCGGTGTCAAACAGTGATATCGGTCGAGCTCTAACCGCAAAGCACAGAAAGGAAGAGACTACCGATGCAGGTGATAGACAGATAATAGTTTATTTTCCGAATATATCAAAAAATGTAAAATTACAATAAATGGAAAAGATCAATTATAGAATTTAATCGAGAGGGGGCGGGCAAGACTGCAAGGTCAACTATGTCGACCGACCCCTGACCCCGATGTTGATGTAATCAACGTCGCGACGAAAATGCATTATTTGAAACCTCCTTTTGTTCAGTATTTTCGTTACATCGGATCAGTATAATAATAACACATTAGTCATTTTAATCAGGAAATACAAACGTAAATATATCTGCTGCACACCGTTTTAATCTACAATGAAATATTTGAATGGGCTTGTATTGTAAGTCTTTGAAATATTAATATTTTCGACGAATAGCTTTGTTTTTATGTTACGGTGATATCTTTATTAGTGATGAATTTATATTAAGCACACGGCGAACCCAATTGTGAAGTTTAATCTTCAACTTAATCTTGTCATCTTAACATTGAGATAGGTCCCAGGATTTCTGTTAGGAATTATACTAATTTTTCACTCGCTCACCCAAGCTGTGTTCAATAACTGCCATTTCGAATTCAAGGCATAAAATAATTGTTAAGTCAGTATGAACACTGGAATTTTTCTACTTCTTATATATTCAATTTTTGACGTCGTCGATTAAGTAAGACACGTATTCTCTTTAATGTGATTTTGGCATATATTCATACATGGACCGAACAGGATACAAAAATATTACATTAGAACGCCGTCTTTATCTGAACGGAAAATGTCAATTTGGCGCTGTTATGTCGGGCGTCAAAATTCATTTCCGCGACGCAGTGTGACGCCGTTTCGGAAGTGAGCGAAAAATGATCTACGTGATGTTGACATAACTTTTGATGACGCACTGTGAAATCTCAATATTTTTACGAAATTTGTAATTCAGAACTTTAGGTTTTATTCAAATCTCGTATGACATCTTGCACTTTATCACTCTGTTAAATAATATACATTGTTATCGCCTTCTACTAATTGATGGCATTTTGACGATGAAACCGTTCATACTCGCAGATAGGTCGCAATTTTTCCTTATATTTTTTAAAAAAAATATTGGTTCGACCAATCCGCTCAACATAAGTGCAAATCGCCACCAAGTCGGAACAGAATTGGAAGTTTTCGGCTATTGCAAGTACCGCATTTTCTGGCTAAGAAGTCGGTTTTCAGGACCTACGTTTTTGACCTAATTTTCTGGGGTCGGCTTATTGGGCGGATATATCGTATTTATTCGAGTATAACACGCAAAATTTTATACTAATTTTCAATAAAAAATTAAGGGCGAGCGTTATAGACGCGAATTGTAGTGGAAATGTGCTATTGCAATTGTTGTTTTATCGAATACGGGTGCATGCACATACCAATGCGAGACAGTTTCATGAGCGCACATGCGCTCAGCGTTGTACAACAATTGCACAAATCATCCGCCATTAATTACTGCTTACGCAAACAAACCACTTTTTCTTCTGCACGTGCACCATTACATTACAGTAAATGAACTAGCGCGTAAAATAGGACGAAAGACTGAAGAGAATGTTTGTAAAATATTTTTTATAACATTAGTAAAAATTTATTTGGACTATATCTGAATTAAATCATAGATCTACAGATAACTTGCACATCTAGAAAAAAGGCCCTAAAAATGAGTACGGGCAAAAAAGAGAGTTATGAAACAGGCTTCAAGTTAAAGTAGTGGACTATGCAGATGAACACAGAAACATGAAAGCAGAATGAGAGTTTGGTGTATCTAAAAAGGTGGTCAGAGGTTGGAGAAAACATAAAGTTTAAAACGATGCTCAAAAGTAAAAGGGCTGGGAGCAGGCTTTTTAAGCTTTCTCACGTATTGTAATCACTATGAAATAGAATCGGCACTTTGATTGTTCATATTCTGTGCGACCGTCCTTCGTGTTACGACACTTTTCCATGTTTGCGTAGGTGGACATTGCCCACATTTTTCTACAAGGCATTTATTTAACACATTCATTTCGACAATTATTTATTGCCGTAATTGTTTCGATATCCAATGAATAGTTGCAAGTCGAAAAAACAAGTCGATTTATTAGGAAAAATACTTTTACCCGCTTTCTGGCAAATAATTTTGATAACGATAGTTAAAAGTATCGATCCTTTACCAGGATGATTTTTTGTTGCGCAAAATAATCCAATCTATGACAGATACCAGCATTTGAAATGTCACGCTGTATTAATTTAATTCTGTTCAACGTAACTCATGGTTGTATCGACAGTCTGTAGACATGGAAATGTGTGGTAAACTGACCGATATTATTAATTATTGATTCCTATATTCATATTTATAAAATAATGAAAGTATTGATACCAAGTACCACTGGTATTTTTGGACATGAAATGTGTCGGATTCGTATTTACAAAATAATAAAACTCGGCGATCTGTAGACTTAAAATGCGTGTTAAACTGCCCAATATTATTAATTTTTGATTCATATTTACTAAGTAATAAAAGTATTAATACTCTAACATACTATGAGAATTTGTGGACACAAAATGTGTGGTAAACTGCTCGATTAACTAACATTTGAGCTATGTTAATAGAATTAAATTAACACGGTAAGGCATTCTAAATAGTGGTATTGGTCATGGATTCGAATATTTTGCGCAGCACAAAATTATCCTAGTAAAAAGTCCATACTTTTGAATACAAACCAATGGCAACCACTATCCAAATTATTTCCAAAAAAGCGGGATAAGGTATAAATTATTTTTCCGACTTGTGACAATTTTTTGGTGAGTATGAAAATAAGAACCAAAAATTAATTGTCTTGCGCAATGTTAAAACATCATTGAAATTCTACGAAAAAAAATAATCCGATTTACTCAAGAAAATTTTTTTTTTTTGGACATGTGATGGCCATGATTAATTTAGAATATATTCGAGACAAGTATGGTGCGATATGATGCACCTGCTGTCATGCAAGACGCCCCTCGTTTGTGAGACACAATTGAACCAAATGAAGGGTCATTCTTGGAAAGTGGAATAGGGTAATTGTTTTTTACACGCACGTTGCGCCATTGGACCTTAGATTTCATGCTATCCTTGGTGTTGAAAGAAAAAAGTTAATACCGTCCAGAACCAGCAAATGCTGGTTAAAATATCAAGTATTATTGAAAGGGACATAATAATATATACAGAAATACTGGTACTAATGAAAATATAAATTTCCATATCAGTAATTTTAAAAACCGAAATTTACAGCATTGAAGAGCATTTTGCCTTGTTTCTATTATCCTAAATTGCTATTAACAAATTATTTGAATTTAAGATTCTGTTAAAGTTATGCTCATTTAGCAATTTTGGATTTTCTACATCGCCAAAGCTACGCTCAAAATAAGTAAATTAGGAATTATCCAGTTGGTGTGAGGAATGCAGATCGGGCTGGAAATTTAAACCCTGACTGGAATGAGATAGCGATCGGAGACCGCCAACTTATCAATCTAGCGGCGTGTATCCTTCGCTCTGACTCAATAGCGATACTGCGTGTCCCATCACAAATTAATCAACAACTCGCTAATTATACGACATAATTCATCCAAAATTAACAGGCTTCTGATCTGAGATTTGATGAATGCACATGCAAAATTTGGAGCAGATTCAACCTCGCCTTCGTGAGATATCGCGTAACCGACGAAAGTGTCTAACAGACAGACAAATACCTATCCACATACTTACCGATCGGAACATGCTCAAATCTCGCACTTTTGCATTAGTGGCGGCGTCTTTTTATAAAAGATCTTCAATTTTTTATGAAACAAGTTTTAAATGATATGATCTATCTATATTTTTCTGTGGAAGCTTAACTGGAAAGTTAGGAATCTTGCGTATGCTGTCTGGTGTTCAATATCGATACCGAGTTGTTTATATTTATCTTGTGACACAGATAAAAATATTTCTATTTACTAGTCCCATCCAAGGGTGTAAATATATCCCAGGTTACCAAATTTCTAGATTATGCTTTCACACGAGAATAACTAGTCTGTGCTTTCAAGGAACTTTTAAGCAGTTAATCACAAACATAAAAGACTTTCGTGATAATGGCCAGCAGTTGAAAATTTTAAAATATCTAGATAGATGGATTTTATTTCAATCCATACGCAAAAAATAAAACTACACAAAAAAGAGAATGGGAAAGAATTTGTTTACTCTTATTTTCAGATATTCTTCATTACAGAAAAATAATATCGAAATCAAAGGATCCAACTAAGACATTTTTCTCTGCCTTATTCGTGATGAAAACTTTCCGTCATTCAGGATCACCCATTCATGATGATGAATTTGTATCTGGTAACACTGTGGGAACTAGTCAGTCAACCAATTCAGATGATCATTGTGGGAATGTCATCACAAAGGAAACCTATTTACTAAGTGGGGGTAAAGTGAAACTCGATGTTCATGCACAATGTATAATGGGCGGTTTGATTCATCAAACTGAAAAATCAGATAATTGTGGACAAATCAACATAACTTCTGTATCACAAGGGAAGTTAAAAATTCAGTCACTTGTTGATACCAACAGTGGGGATGGACCATATGTTTGCCAAACATGTGGGAAGAAATTGAAAGGGAAGCAAATTTTGAAAGTGCACATGAGAACTCATACAGGAGAGAAACCATATATTTGTAAACAATGTGGGAAGAGTTATTCGCAATCATCCTATTTAAATGTGCATAAGCGAACTCATACTGGAGAGAAACCGTATGTCTGTAAAATATGTAGAAAGGGATTTTCACAATTACCTAATTTACGTGTACATGAACGAATTCATTCTGGGAAAAAACCTTATATCTGCAAAGAGTGTGGAAGAGATTTTTCACAGTTAACTCACCTAAATAGGCATGAACGAAGTCATACTGGAGATAAGCCTTATGTTTGTAAACAATGTGGGAAGGGTTTCTCACGATTATCTCAGTTACATTCTCATGAGCGAGTTCATACTGGAGAAAAGCCATATGTTTGTGAACGATGCGGAAAAATTTTTTCGCAATTAAATAGTTTACGTAGACACGAGAAAACTCATACTGGGAACAAGCGTTTTGTTTGTAAATACTGCGCAATGGCTTTTTCACGAATATGCACTTTACGAGAGCATGAGCGAACTCATACTAAAGAAAAACCTTATGTTTGCGAACAATGTGGAAAGGGTTTTTCGCGATCGTCTCTTTTACATGCGCATCAGCGAACTCACACTGGAGAAAAGCCTTATGTTTGTAAACATTGCGGAAATAGTTTTGCAGAAAAATCTCCTCTACGTAAGCATGAACGAATTCATACCGGGGAGAAGCCATACATTTGTAAACATTGTGGTAGAAGCTTTGCGCGATTACACACATTACAAGTGCATGAGAGAACTCATACCGGGGAGAAACCCTATATTTGTAAACAATGTGGTAGCAGCTTTACGCGATTGCCTGGATTACGAGTCCATGAGCGAACTCATACTGGAGAGAAACATGAATAATGTGGAAAGAGTACGTCAGATGAATACAACTATTGTCCTTCCTCTCTGGAATATACATTTACCTAAACATTCACTAATGCGTATGGTTTTGCGATGTTTGTGAGCAATGTGAAAAATATTTTAAGAAGGCATATTCATGGTCGCAAAAGAAGACTATGAAACAAGTATAACCTGTGTAACCTATTTTTTCCAAAACTGGGAATTAAGTCCTAATATGATATGTAAATATATTTTGAAATCTTTTTTAAGATTTGTGTGCATAATACAACACGCTCAAAATTTTTTTGTGGATTCACTTTTATTTGCAACAAGTTGGGTATTTCAGTGTACACTACCTCAGCTAAAACTCTTCAGAGCAAAATAGTCTACGGAACTATTTGATTTACAATAGATGGGAAATATGTTTGAACAAGTGAAAAATTCAAATTGCTACACTACCTTTAATTTGTGCCATTGGCTATTGTTAAGGAAGTAAATGGTTCTGGTCAAAACAATGACTGGTGTTAGACTAGGTATTTTGTGAAGAACTAGCAAACATGATAATCAATTTTTAAAATTGCAGAACATCTTTATAATTCATCCACTTTATTGTCAATAGCTATTTTTTTGTGTATGATTCTACCGAAACGAACAAACATGCCCTAAGCCGGAAACACTTGTCAGCCAAAATACAGTATTTCAATGATTACAGCAGTCAATATTCTTAGAAGATTCATTCTCTTCTAAATGTTCATTATTTTAGCCAACTCATCAAATACTCAGAAAATTCATATGTAATTAGTAATCTAAATAGACTTCCTGTTTCACTTCAATATTTCAGTATGTATTCTGTTTAAAAAAAATTATAATTGTCTCCGTACCTGTGTGCTCAAAAAGGTAGCAATTCGGAAATGTCTTGATTTATTCATCATTATTTACTTATCAACACAAGCTCTGTATCTGATTAGAGCAGTATAGAGTATGTATTGAAACCGGGTATCACATCGAGACTTTTCACTCATATGTTTATTATTTTACTAGTCGCACTAAGGGGAATATATCCTAGGTTATGCTTTCACACTAAAATACCCAGTCTATGCTTTCAGTACATGCTACAAAATTGAGATGACCTCAATGATAATGAATGCAAAATATTTACTCTCATTTTTAGATATTCTACATTACGAAAAATTATATCGAAATCATAGAATCCTTTTCCTCTGCCTTATTTGTGATGAAAACTTTCCAATCGCTTATTCATGATGATGAATATGAATCTGGTAACACTGGGAACTAGTCAGCCAACCAACTCAGATGATCATTGTGGGAGTGCTATCACAAAAAAAAGTTATTTACTAAGTGGGGATGAAGTGAAACTCGATGTTAAAGCACAATATTTAATGGGCAGTTTGATTCATCAAAATGAAAATCAGATAACAGTGGGCCAATTAATACATAACTCTGTATCAGAAGGGAAGTTACAAAATCCAGTCACTTGTTCGAAACCAACAGTGGAAGATGGAACATATGTTTGCCAAACATGTGGGAAGAAATTGAAAGGGAAGCAATATTTTGAAAGTGCACATGAGAACTCATACAGGGGAGAAACCATATATTTGTAAACAATGTGGGAAGAGTTTTTCGCAATCAATCCTATTTAAATGTGCATAAGCGAACTCATACTGGAGAGAAACCGCACGTCTGTAAAATATGTGGGAAGGGATTTTCGCAATTATCTCATTACGTGTGCATGACCGAACTCATTCTGGAAAGAAACCTTACATTTGTAAAGAGTGCGGTAAGGGTTTTTTCGCAGTTAGGTCAATTAAATAGGCATGTACGAGGTCATACTGGAGATAACCTTATGTTGTAAACAAGTGGAAAGGGCCTTTCACGATCATCCACTTTGCTCGCTCATGAGCGAATTCATACTGGAGAAAGCCGTACGTTTGTAAACAATGTGGAAGAGGTTTTACGCAATTAAACTAGTTTATGTAGACACGAGAAAACTCATACTGGAGATAGACCTTTTGTTTGTAATACTGCGCAAAAGCTTTGCACGATTATCCAATTACGAGAAGCATGAGCGTAACTCCATACTAAGGAAAAGCCTTATTCTTGTAAGCAATTGGAAAGGGGATTTTCGCGAACGTCTCATTTAAATGTGCACAAAGCGAACTCACACTGGAGAAAGGCCCTTATGATTGTGAACAATGCGGAAATAGTTTTTGCAGAAAAAGCTAAACTACGTAGCATGAACGATTCACACCGGAAGAGAGCCGTACATTTGTAAACACTGCGGTAAAAGCTTTGCACGATCACACCACATTAAGGGCATGAGCGAACTCAATACTGGAGAAAAAACTTAATATTTGTAAACAATGTGTAGCAGCTTTGCGCGATTACATAAATTACATGTGCATGGGCTAATTCATACCAAAGAGAAATGTAAATAATGTGGTAGGAGTTTGTGAAAAATGTTTTACGAGGGCATGCTCATGGATGAAAATAGTAGATGACCAAACAAGTATAACATGTGTAACCGCATTTTTTTCCAAACTGGGAAATAAGTCTGAGGATGTTATGTAAAATATAATTGTGCGCGTTGTAGGTTCAATCACTATAGGTGGAAAATATGTTTGAACAAGTGCAAAAATTCCAATTGTTACACTACCTTTAATTTGTTGTCCAGTTTTAGTTTTTTAGTCCATTCAGTCGACTACTGAATTGAAAATGTTATGTAAATATATTTTGTGATTCGTGTGCATAATATCACACACTCAAAATATTTTTTTATTTTGCACAAGGTGGTTATTTCAGTCTACAAAACCACTTATGATCTACCTCAGCTAAAACTCTTCCAGAGCAAAGTAGACTACTGAACTATGTGATTTACAAATAAGTGGAAAATATGTTTGAACAAGTGCAAAAATTCCAATTGTAACGCTACCTTTAATTTGTTGTCATTGGCTATTGTTAGGGAAGTAAATGGTTTTGGTCAAAACAATGACTGGTGTTAGAATAATGACGAACTAACAAACACGAAAATCAATATTGAAAATTTCAGGAACATGTTGGGTGATGGAACAGTTTTAATCAACTACGGAATTGAGAATTTTATGTAAATATATCGTGTGACTTGTGTGCATAATATCACACGCTCAAATTTTTTTTCTATTTTGCACAAGGTTGTTATTTCAGTGTGCAGGAAACCACTTATAATCTACCTCAGCTAAAACTCTTCCAGAGCAAAATAGACTACTGAACTATTTGATTTACAAATAGATGGGAAATATGTTTGAACAAGTGAAAAATTTCAATTGTTACGCTACCTTTAATTTGTTGTCATTGGCTATTGTTAGGGAAGTAAATGGTTTTGGTCAAAACAATGACTGTTAGAATAGATATTTTGTGTTTTTCCTTGATGACGAACTAAAATCAATATTGAAAATTTCAGGAACATCTTTATCATTCACCCGCTTTATTGTTAATAGTTATTTCTTTGCGTGATGACGATTCTACCGAAATAAACAAAGATGCCCTGGTTGAAATCATGATCAACATATTTGCTGGGTGTAGAGTTGTCAGCCAAAAAATACAGTATTTCATTGAATATTCATATAAGATGCAGTCCTCTTCTAGGTGTTCATATTTTAACCCAAAAGTGGCACTAAATTCATAAAAAACTGTGAATGTGATTAGTAAATCTAATTGTCTGTGTCATTTAAGAATTTCAGGATGTATTCACCAAGATGGCGCACAACCTGAACAGGGTTAGGTTATGCGACATCTTGGTGCGTATACTTCAGGAGCCCCTGAGAATGTCTTGAATTTTTCAGGTATCTCCATGTATTACCACAAGCTTAGTATCTGATTAGAGTTATAAAGAATATTGGGTACTCCCGTAGTATGTGTACCAAGTTAGAGCATAATTTCATTATGATTTTCCTTATTTTAGTTCTATTACAAGTTTCGGGACTGTCTGTGTTATCGAAGTGAATAAACGCACCCCGTCCATAGGTTTCAGTCCCTTCACACAACTTGATGTAAAGTAGGCAAACAAAATTAGTTACTCCATATTGGTACACTACACATACTTCTGGAGTGCCGAATATTGGGTTCCATTACATTTGAACCCACGTACATTTGAACCCATGACAATTGCACCTGTATGCTATTGCACCTATGGAATTTTTTTTGTTTCACGGATAGTTAAACCCATACTAACCCTAACCCATGGGTTTTAGCACCCGTATATAGATTGAACCCGTGGATATACGCATGGGTTCAAATGTACGGTCACCGAATATTGTACTAGTGAAACCAGTATCTTGTGGAGACTTTTTCACTTATATGTTGGGTGATGGAACAGTTTACAGTTATAATCAACTACTGAATAAGCGATTACCGGTACATGAACTATCATGAAACCGGTTGAACTTGGATGATGTCTTATTTGGTAAAGCAATTCTGACAGTTTCTGTTTCAGGTTGTCACCATAATTATAGCTGACTTCCTATTAATACATATATTTTTACCAATTACTTTTTGCCAATACTGCCAAATTTGGAATATATTACTTTGATCTGATACTCTGTATATCCATATATTTTTTGTCTATGATCTTGTCAGGTTAATAAGTATGAGTTTATTTAGATTCCCTAATCAGCATAATAGGCAATAAAAAAAACTGATTACGAAAAAATCATGAGCAGACAGAAACTCAGATAAGGTTTAAAAAATGCAACATTTAAGATGGAAGGTTTTGCCATTGGTAGGGTTACCATACTCCACATTATTTTTGATTTTCTTGCTTCTAAGGAAATGGACCTTACATAAACATTACATGTACCTGGATTGAGTTGTATCTTGGAAAGCACGGAAAACAACATTTTGATTTATTGCCGTGGCTTCATAAACTATCTTGACTATGTGAAAATATAGGATAATAATTGAAAATATTTTCTTTAAAATATTAAAGTGCTTAATTTATTGCCGCGTTGCACAAAATAATTGTAAATTTTTTTCAATGTTAGCGCTGGGATATTGAGCAATAATCAATATTCCTTTAAAGTTTCGGAAAGTCACGATATAGGAACACATTCAAATATTATATTCGAATTGGACATCCCTGCTTGCTGCTTGTTGGCATAGCTGGCGAAAGGTACACCCTCCCCAGTGGAAAAAAATAAAGTGTTATCAAGATTGTATTCAACTTTTGACATAAAAACACTCACATCTTTAGAAGAACAATAATCTATATTTGGATTGCAATTCTTTTGTAAATTATTCATTTCAGTGACGCTTTTTTCACATGCGGAAATAGTTATGTGCGAGAGGATTGCTGGACTCCTCGCCGCCGTAACGCCATCAAGACTTTGTGTGCTTCCTGAAACAACAAATAAATAATCCCATACACGACATGGAATGGCAACTCACCGCGGTTAGACATATGGTTACACCGCCGCATCTGCATTCCTCTCCCCATGGATAAATACGTAAATCCTATCCTATCTGAAACACTGACACATATTAGCTCTGACCACCCAGGCTTCACACTGTCCTCATATTTTCTCACGTTGTATATAACGTAAATCACTCTTTGGGTATTCAGAGAGCTGCTTTCATATGGAATAACCTGATTCCATGACAAAAGAGAAACCAAACTCATGAAAAGAATGTCGGAATAGCAGGCTAAAGGTACGGACTTCCCACCCTGCTCTAAATGGAAAAAATAATAAGATATCAAATAACTTTTGACATAAAATGATTGTAAAAACACTCATTTTAAAAAGAACAATCTATATTTGCATTGCAATTCACTTCTTTGTATTCTTGGACATGTTTTTGTAAATCTTTCACTCCAAGCTTTCTCCGACATTGTGTATGCATGAATTGAAATTTATGTGAATGAAATTTGCTTGAAACGACGATCACACATTGTTCACAGAATAACGTTTGTTTCCGGTATGAGTTCGCTCATGACTACGTAAACTAGATATATTTAAAAAGTCATTACCCCATCGTCTACAAACATATGGTTTCACTCCTGTATGACATCGTTATGTGTTTTGTAAACTAGATAATCGCATAACACTTCCCACATTTTTCACAAGAATGAGGTTCTTTCCTGTATGAGTTCGCTCATGCACTTGTAAATGAGATAATTGTGCGAAACACTTCCCGCACTGTTCACAAACATGAGGTTTTTCACCAGTATGAGTTTGCTCATGATCTTGTAAATTATAAGTTTCTCTCCAGTATGAATTTTCATATGCACCTTCAAATTCCTCTAAATATGAAGTTTTTCCCACATTGTTTACAAACAAACAATTTATCTCCACTGTTAGTTTGTGAATTTGAAATTTTCCAAGTTCCAGTTTCATCGATGAAACCACTTTCTTGACATTGAGAAGAACATCGAGTTTGTCTTCGCCACTATTTGTAAGAAGAGGAAGTTTTACTGTAAATCTTTTCTATTATGCTCTCAGAGTTGATAGGAAGACCAGTATCCACAATGCTGCCAATCGCATATTCGTTTGAATATCCAGTTCCATAACCATTTTTATCGTGAATGTGCAAAAACATATGCTTTTCCAAACTGGGCCCCGATGAAAAGTTTTTATCACAGTTAAGGCAGGGAAATACATTTTCATTGAATTCCATGATTTCGATAGAATTTTCCTTAGTTGAAAGTATTTTTAGGCTTAGTGTTAATCACTGACTGACAATATTGCTTAGATACAAATATTTCATTTTTCTGATTAGGTTATTTTAGGATGCGGAATATCTAAAAAAATTAATGATAAAATTTTCACATGTTGCAAACACTGACCATGTCATAAAATTTAGTTAGCAATTAAATCTATGACTACGGTATGTGATGTGTATGAGACTACAACAATTTGTAATCTCTTCATACAAATTGTTTATCAGCCGCTCAATGAAAAGCTGAGCTTTCCGGTGAAACCAGTGATTAAAATACAACCAAATTTCCCAGTAATTCTCTCCTAGCAAGTAAATTAATTTAGTAATGGCCGTTCCGATGACTTATATATTAATGTCCCATCTAGGACTGGGCAAAATATCCGAATATTGAATCGAATATCAAAATATTCGAATACCCGGTACCACGTGACCTGCGCCGCTTTGCTTTAACACGTAATTCGCATTCTGTAAATTTATGAACGTTTTGTAAATTATAAACGTATGACGAGGTATTTAAAATAAATTTTACAGATTTTGTACTCCGAATGCCTAGTGAAATGTTGTTAGCCATAGCTCTATCCTTGGACAAGTTATGTTTCGAAAATGTAAAAATTTAATCCCACCATGCATGGCCGGGGGAGTGTTGCATTGTAAACAAGAGTAGAACGTAAATTCAATCATGAATTTCGCCCTTAACAATGCTTACTAGCTCATTTACGAATTGTTGTGCCTAATATCATTATAAATTATTACATGTGTTGTATTTTTGAAGCGTTTTAGCGGTAAATAATTAGGTATGGCGTGACACCGTTGAGTTTGCAAATTCCGTATATGAAATTGGGAATTACTCGGTAACGATTTTAGCGATAATAATCGTTGGGGTATTGTTTTGTTGAAAAAAAAAAGGTTGAAACTTGTGGGAATCAGTTATAATTAGCGTCTGAACCTATATCAGGCTGAGATAAACTGCCGGGTGTATTTAATTTTAATACGTATTTTTGGAATCTCGCGAACCTTGTTATTGTCGTTAGAAAAATCTCAATAACTGATATAAAATCCCGTAGAGTACAATTTTACTTCGTACAATGAAAATACATTCAAAGTATATCGTTGAATCAAAAATAGATATTCATCGCCGCGATTAGGACACTTGTTAAAAGAGCTTACAATGAATAACGAGTTTTCTGTTGTGCAAATTAATCAATTCGTGACCGATAAGGGCATATTTAAAATGTCTTGCTTTATTATTGTCTTAACCAGCGGTTGAGTCGACAAAATAAAATCTTCACAATTTTACCACGGCAATCTGCGGACATAAAGTGTGGTAAACTGCCCGAATATATAAAGCTTGATCCTTATTTACAGGACTTGTAACATCAAAAAATCCATAAATCTGCTGTAAAATCTCAGGTTAAAATTTATTTTAGCACAATAATTTTGATTGAATATACATTTGATTGATTATCTTTTATATATCACCACAACCCGGGGATAATTATCCCGTTTCAAACCTTGTATAATGTTGAAAACAAAATTTTCGACGGCAATTTAAAGTAATGGATAATAAGGCCAATCCCGCCCACAATTAACAGTGCTGCGATTTCAGTGACGATATGTTTTCTAAATGCAGACCAAACATAATGTGTTCGGAAGGCACACGAAATTTTGCGATTTTCAATGTCTAAAAAGGCGTTTTTAAACTGTCGCAGGTCTCAATAAAACTCATATTGTCACGGATTTACTCCTCCATTTGTCTTTAGAACCTCGGCGCCGATGAACGTATAATAACTCTCGTCGAATTCACAATTCCGTGCAAGTACAAAAATAAAATAATTATCATGTTTATCGTGGCCCAAATTTTTGATTTAGAGAGAATAAACACTAACGTAAAGACGTTTACAGACTAAATAACACGCTGATGAAAGCAATCGACAATTTTAGCAGAAGGCAATTGCACGCGTTATCGGCAACTTTTTCAGTTTTCAGAAAAAAAAATTAAAAGGGGGGGGTTAGAACCTACGCAGAGTAATTAGAGGTGCGGAGGCGAGCGTGTTCCTAACGCTTAGCCAGTTGAGCCACACCGCCGCGCCAGATATAATCTAATAGGACTAGGATCAAATTTTGATAATGCTCGGATATAAATGAATAAACGTTGAGATACCGGTAGCATATTCTACAATAAGGCTCAAAACTTATCGAACTTTAATATAGCGGTACGGTAGTAAGAAGTTAGAACTGTGGCGCAAACATTCACACGGAGAGACAGAGATGGAGGAACAGTGAAAACAAACAACAGAACAAAGACTAACTTTCATACCGGTACCGTTAGTTAGAGTTATCTTTTTTTAGGTTCTATAAAACCTGAGCATAAACGAATGTTAGGCTATTTGTAGAGCTGTTTTC